CCCCTGACATCTATTTGTCTTAATTCCAAAATAATACTCTCAACCTTTTTCTTTTTTTTTTTTTCTTTTTGAGAAGTCAGCTTTCAATTAATCTGGAATGCTGAACTTGTGACTTTGCAGATGGCAGTGCAGTAAGTGACTGATATACTGATATATCTTCATAGGCATGAGATAGTGGCTCTCAGGGGAGATCAAAAGGAAACAGATGCAAGAAAAAGCTGCTGTTATTAGCTGTTGGTGGATTAGCTTACTATCTCTGCAGCAAGTTCCTTGTGGTTGCAAGAAATCATCTCTTAGTATGAGAGAGCAGTCCTGTCCCAAATATCTGCTAGAGAGCATCAGCAGGAACATTAAGAAACAGGTTAAAAATAAACAAAAAAATCCAAACCACTTAATGCTCTTAAGTCTTTGATTGTGCTGTCACCAGTGAACTGGCTCTGGAAATTTTCTCTTGGATGCATCGTTCTGTTTGAGAAAGTAGTCCACAGCATCTGAGGGAATCCTACAGCTGGTAAAAAGGAATTTGTTTCTCTAGTATTTGTGCAGCTGTGCCTACATGTGCCTGTTGAAAGTTCATGCTTTTTAAAAGTTGATCTGTCATATGAACCTGACAGCAAAAATGTGTTGCTGAGGATTTCATGTGCTTGCTGGCCACTAATGAATGCAGCAGCAGTGAAGCGCCCAGGCTGAGCAGGCTGCGATCTGCTTTCACCAGCCTTCACAGCATCATCGCCTCTCCAAGCTGCTGTCAAGCTGCCAGGACACATAAGTGCCAATTACTCAGCAGTTCCTGTCTTCTTCAGGTGCTATTCAGGGCTTGGGAGATTCCAGCTCCAGTTTTATCTGAATGCTGGCAGCCTGCCATGCATTTGTATGAGCTTGACTGCAGAGGTCAGAGCAATTTCATTGCTTTTCTCTGAGAGCTGAGGTGTTGTCAGAGATGTGCTCTTGCACAAGATATTGGATCATTTGGTAGGTTTATTTTGAAGCCCCATGATTGCAGAGGAGCTAGCTGCAGCCATTGAGAATATTGAATGTTCAAAACATGTCAGGCAAGCAGACACAGATGCGCCAGAAAAAGTCCAGTGGAGGGCCACCAAGATGATGAAGAGTCTGGAGCACCTCTCATGTGAGAAGAGGCTGAAAGAGCTGGGCCTGTTCAGAGGAGGAGGCTCATGGGGATCTTAACAATGTATACAAACACCTGAAGGGAGAATGCAATGAAGATGGAGACAGAACTCTTCTCAGCAGTTCCCAATGCTGGGTACCAAAGGCAAGGGGCACAAACTGGACATGTGCCTGGGCACACTGCTCTGGAAGTTGCAGCATGAGCAGGGGTTGGAGCAGATGGGCAGAGATGTCTCTAGCAACCTCAGTCCTTCTGCAAGTCTGTAAAGCACTAACTAGGAACACGTGGCTCCTTATTTCTTATCTAGGCAAGGACTAACACAAAGGGAGATGTTTGTGTGTTCATCTGAATGCAAGGATTATACCAGGATGGCAGCATTCTTGCCAGTACAAGCTGGAAGAAACCATATCAGCACACTCATGTATGTGCTGCTGAGCTTATCAGCTATAAAGGGAAAGCCCTTCTGTCCTCTCTGTTCTCTTTGTCTGATGAGAAGGAAGTGGCATTGTATCCCAAAAGCCACTGCTGGGGTGGGATTGCCTGCAGGGCTCCCTGTTTACATTGGCCATTAAAGGAAAGTACACTTGAGCTTCAAGTAAAAGATATTGACACTTGTTGATGCATACAATTTGTCCCAAGATTTTTCAATCTCTAACCATTCTATGAAAAGTCAAAAAGCTGGACAAGTCACCTATTTGTACAAATGGGGATCAAAAAATACCATTTGCTTCTAATAATTCCCCTCATGAGGAGCGCAAGATGGGAGCAGCTTTTTGGCTGTTTCAAGTCATCAGACGAGCCATAATCTGCATGTTTTATGCTTCTGCATGAGCTCCTGGCCACCTGTGTCATGTCCATCTGTTGACCTGGGCATGAGGCCTACTGACATGGCTATGCAGATAACCTTTCTTTTTTTTTTTTTTTTTCAGGAAGTGATGTTAATGAACAGATCTCTGCAGTTTGCAGTTACATGACAAATGCCATCCATTCTACATGAAGTCCCTCTACTGACCATTATCATAGCAGTGTCATTTACTTCTTATTGCTTCTAAGGCATTTTGAGAGATTCATGTAGAATAAATGTAAATGTGGCAGTGATGGTGTATGAATATTCAGAGACAGTCCTTGTCCCTCAGATTATATCTGAGCATTTTAAGTGCATTCAGCTTAAGGCTGCACAGTGCTTTTCTGTGAATAGTAAATTTGCTGAAGAATGAAGCTTTAGAATAACCACATCTATTTTCCAAGTGAAGTGATTGTTGTTAGCCAGCTGTAAGTGGAAAAGGATGTGGTAAAACTGGCTTCCAGGATTGACAGGGCTGTGTATTCCTCTCCACCACTGCAAAGGCAGATGAAGCTGTGTGCTCACGTTCCTCGTTCTGTGAAAGGAAGCTTGAGCCCCTCACAGGGGATGCCTCACATTGAGAAGAGCGCAATATGCTTAAAGCCTGTTCTGCCTTTCATGAACTATTAGAGAATTTTTAGGATAGGGTCTGAAGGCTCCAACACATAGGTGAACATTGAGATTATTTTCCCCTTCAGTGACTGATTTTCCTGATGAAAATGGAAAAACTTTCCTAGGATGGACCCAACTCCTGTACCTGACAGGTTGTCCTGCTCTCTTTAGGGAGAGAATAGCAAAGCTGTTTGGGGGAACACTTACTTACAGGTCTCAGAAGTCCCATAGGTGGTATTTAGGACAATGAATTTCTGCCAGGGTACATTGGCCTTTGCTGGTGCTCTACATCCAGCTGTGTCTTTGTTCTTTCTACAGAAAAGAATGCCAAATGCAATGTTATGAAATTATTGTTTTGCTTCATATGTTCAAGTTGGATAAATTTCTTGCTTGGATGACAGGGGCTTTGTCTCCATTAGTTACTCCACACAGAAAGACAAGATCTGCAGAGTCAAACAGTGCAGATCTCAGGGGTTTTGCTTTGGAACAGCTTTACTTTAATCCCACCAGGACATGTTGAAAGAAACTTGTGGCAAATCAGGAGACCAAATATTACATTTTGAAAGTGTCAGCAAAATCTTTTAAATTATTACTAATATTTTCTTCTACCAGAAGAAAGACTCCTAAGAACCTGACATGTTCATGAGATACTTCTATGTTGCTGAAGTTTTGTTTTTTGTTGGCAGTTGTATCAGATGAAATTTTAACTGATCCTTCTTGAGGTCTTCTGACATCCTATTCAAACCCATATATCTTGCTGTGTATGTGATTTTTATCAAAGGGGTTTTTATATAAAATGAACTCAGACCATATGAAAAAAGTGTTCTTACACCTATCTCTTTACCTGTGCCAAAGAAAGGGAAATATCCACTGCCAGTGTCTCAGTTTTCTTGTTCTGACTCTGCCGTGTGATTATGAAATCAGTTGTGACACATACAAATGTCTCAGCCACAAGAAACTGAGAAAGAGGAGGCAGTAACAAAATGAGAAAGTCATTCAAGTCATTTAAGAGCTGAGAAAAAAATTAGGGACCATGTTTGGGAAAGCATCCCAGCTGCTAAGCAGGAGGTGCCGGTAAGGCTTGTGCAGAAGTACCATGGATTTTCCTTGCCTACTTACTGAAGTTTATGGACACTGGCATGTTGAAAAGGCAGGGAGGATCTACTGGTGCTCTGAAGGCTGCAGCGACTCTGAAAAGGGAGCAAGCAATCAAGGGTGAATCAGTGATTTTCTCATGCAGAAGTATCGCCTGATACAGCCCACAATCCAGAACAATAAGTTCTCCTGCTTCTTAACAAATTTGTGTTTAGGTATTGGATTTTACTAGTCACTCTGGCTGACATCTCTGTCAGTTACACCCAATGGAGCATATTCAGGAAACTTTATTATTTTTTGGTATGTGCTTTGTGTAGTGTTAAACACTACTGAGGGTGCTGGTATGGGTGAACTGCCTATAGCTTCCTGCCAGATGTCTCATTCATCTTGGCATGCCAAAAGTATATGGGAAGGAAAGGTTATATTCTTGCTAAGGTACTGTTTTTGAAGAAGTATTTAAGTCTAAAATCAGGAATAATGTAGATATCAGTAAGCAGCTATTGGCTACTTGAAGAAGTTGGAACCTGATATAGCTTTTGTAGCAAGAGTTAAATAGAACTGTAAAAACAGAGAAATAACGTGGATCTATACATTGCCTTCCTCAACTAGTCTCTCTTCTAACTTGCACGTTACAAATATTAACTGCTTTTAAACCTACTCACTGTGTAACTCCTACCTTCTTAAACATCCTCCCTGAGTGTCATTTGGTGCCTGCTGCTATATTTTTGTGGTGCCACTTATCCTAAAGAATTCTCTGAGATTTTTCTCAAGTTGAGAATAAATGGCTATGGTATCATAATCTAATGGAAATATAAATCTCTATGCAGGCATAATAAAAGCAAATCTTACAAGTCTTAAAATTTTTATAAGGCCAGAATTTCAATTTGATTATTGCTTAGTATTGCTAGTTCAACATGTAACTTGGATTCTTTTTTAGTATGCCTTTAGGAAATAAGAACAACAACACTCACTTCAAAATTTAATTTAAAGATTTATATGCCTGAAAATATAAAGAAAAATGTCACTAAAACAATTAATTTTGGGGGAAAATTATTAGTGTTCATTCAAGGTTTGTGAGGAGATGAAATCAGAAACGTTTTGTGCTTTGGAGCTAGCAGGATACCAGATGGTTTTTAACTGTCTGTTCAGGTTGATTGTTTTAGAAAAGACACTCAGAAATTTGTCAGGACTTTCTCTGGGCTCTGGAAAGGTGTGCAGATCAGTTGCAAATCCGTGTGTGAATAACAGCTTGTAGGTGTATTTTGAGATGAGTAGACAAATATTTGTAAGACCAACAGACTTTTCTCTCTCATTTTACAGATTCCAGAATCTGCTTTGGTCTCGAAAAGCATTTGTGGACAGTGTGAAGGTGTACAATCACAGTTACATCTATATGCCGGCCTTCTCAATGAAGACGGGGACAGGCCCCTCCCTGCGTGTCTATTACACCCTGAAGGACTTCGGTGCCAAGCAGGCAGTGCTGTTTGCCAACCCCAATTTCCTGCGTGACATTGGCAAGTTCTGGAAGAGCAAAGGTATCCATGCCAAACGACTTTCCACAGGACTTTTCCTAGTCAGTGCCGCCCTTGGTCTCTGTGAAGAAGTAACAATTTATGGCTTCTGGCCGTTCTCAGTGGACCTGCATGGGAAGTTTATTAGCCATCATTACTATGACAATGTCTTGCCCGATTCTGGATTCCATGCCATGCCGGAGGAATTTCTACAGCTCTGGTTCCTTCATAAAAGCGGTGTACTGAGAATGCAGCTAGAACAGTGTGAGGACCCTTTAACCCAGTCTTCTGCCTAAGGATCGTAGCAGTCGGTTTGGGAGATCCACTCGTTTTTAATTTCCATGCTCTCCTACAGAGAGTTCTGATCTTCTGTTGATTCTTTTTAAAGGGAAAATAGTCATGGATCTGCATGGACTTTAAAAATGCTGCTTGAAAGCCAAATGGAAGATGTCCTTAATGTATGTTTTATGGAACTGTGGTGGGGGAAACAAACCTCTCCATCAAGTCCATTCAGCAGTAATGTGAAAATAATGTCAGAAGCAACTCAAATGAACTTTCTGGGTGACGTTTTTAAATGACCGATGTAAAAAGGGCATTAAGGCTCGGAGAGAAATGGGGCCACCCACAAGCTTTTGCTGACAGTGCCAAATATGACTGTCTGTTCAAAAATCCATTTCATTCCAGATTGGCACCTCATATAACTCTTTTTTTTTTTTTCTTTTTTTTTCCTTCCCTTATGTGTGTGCTTGTGTGTAGTGGTAAGGGGTATAGAGGAAAGTGTGTGTGTTGTTGACTTTCTTCGTTTCTTTTTTTCCATTTTCTGTTTTCCGATGGAAGAAAGGGGGAAGGTGTGAAAGCCTGAGGAGCTGAGTACCATCAACTCCTAAGACTTGTGAATGTGAAGGGTGCTAAGAATCCGGTAGAAGAATGTACTGGGAATGCCCTGCTACTGAATATGGATGGACCTACCTGGTGTAGGTTTTGTCAGGATAGTTTGGTCATTGCACTTATATCTGTATTAATGCTACCTTATGGGCAACAGCTGATTAAGGTAAATTGGCTTGAAGATAAAAGTTGTGATAAAAAAACAAAAGTGAAGTGCAACCGTGTTTTAACTGACCAGCTGCAAGATTTCCATAGTGACTTTGGTAGCAGGGATTGTTCCTTACTTGTTGTGCTGTTTTGCCTTTGGGATTAGTTCCGTATTCATTTGGACTCCAGATGTTCAGTGACTATCAAGGGGATTTGAGGTGTTCAGTGAAATGCAGAATGAGATTCTTCATGTGCTTATAACAGAAAAACTGCAGAAATGAATGTAAGTGTCATCTAAAATGAGTTGAAACTTTGAAAATCCTTTCTCTTTGTGTTACTAGCTCCTCTTTTTAGATTGTAACATTAGCCTTAAAGACTTGTACTTCTGTTGCAAGATTGTCTCTGGTTAAAAGAGAGTCTGAAAAGTAAAACAGCCTTTGGGAGCACTGAAAAACAACATAGCCAGCGAGAAAAACAAAACAAAACAAACAAACAAAAATAAAACCACCAGAAAAGGCAGGCACTTATGTAATGCAGCCTTTCTCTTTGCAATCAGAGAATTATATAAGCGTGGAAATTGCACTGCGGCTGCTCCGGTCAGTGCAGTGCCTAAAGGACTGTTTTATTTTTGGGTATTACTTGGACAATGGATGATCCTATTGCCATGTAAATGAGAAATCTTTTTGTTTGCTTTGTTCTAACACTGTAGGACAGGAAGAGAATACCTACTTGGTCCAGAGTGCAATTTCAGCTGCAAGATGCTATCACTGTTAACTTTATAATCCAAAATAATGTTCTCTTTCTTCTACTTCTATCATTAGTAGCTGAAATTCTAGTCAAAATGTTGAAACAACAAAAATGTCATCAGGTTTCCACAACAATTTCCTGTGCTACCTGTTTTAGCTCCAAAGTGCTAGTATTTTGGGGGATGTGTCCTATCGTATGTTGGCAACCTCTCTCTTTGTAGATTACAAGCTGCAAGTTATATAGATATAATTAAAAAAAAAAAAAAAAAAAAAAAGCAACACCCCTGGCTCTTCTTTAAATATGAATAATTCGACTATCTATGTAGGACATTGAAAAAAAAGCCTTATCTTGCTTTTGAAACATGTGTTTTAGAATAAAATCTTCTTCCTAAATATGAGTATTCCAAATATACAGTGGGCGTTGTTCCTTAGGTTTACAGTGTAGCTCTAAATTGCAAAGGGGAGATTTGGATTAAATGCTGTTTTAGAGATTATTCTGATAAAATCTGAATGTGCTTCTATAACCCATTTTATCTTTGTCCATAGCTTTTTTTGAAGTACAACACATCAATGGAACATCACTGATAATTCGTTCACTTGGATTATATTTTATCTATGATGTGGTACTCAGTAAAGGAGGATTTTCTTTACTGCTCATTAGGACAAATTTTACTGAGCTGCCTTTTGTAGAAAACAGGTGCCTGTATGGGTTTTATGAGATGTATGAAATTTTGCACTTTTTAGTTCTTAAAAGAAGATGCTATCTGTGAGAACAGCAGTCAAAATATTATGTGTTAAGATGATACTTCAGAAGGATGCATTTCCCAGGGGTGTGGGGAAATTAGGAGAGTATGGGAGAACTGCCTCTGTGCTGGTTATTTTTGTCATTTGTACCAGCACTTGAGATTCAGTTCTGAACTTCCCTGATGACTCTCCAACACCCTGGAAATCCCTTCTCTCATGTTCTGGGAAAATGATTTCAGTGAAAGAAGAGAAAAATGAATATTTTCATAGGAAACTTCAATGCAGTATTTCATAACAACTGGCCCCGTGTACCTAGGAGTATTGTATTCCCCATCTCTGTAAGGCTGAAGCTGACTGAATGTTGTGGTCTTTGTGTGTCCCTTTTGATGTCTGCAATCCTGAGGTTTGCAAGCAGATGGTTTTAAAAAAATGATGGGGATTGAAAGAAACTAAGTTGTTTGTGATAAGTGTGGCTAATGTTGGAAAAATTGATAGTTTGGGCTGTGTTCACATCTACTTATAGTGAATATAACTGCATCTTACAGTGGCAACCACATTTGATAGGGAAGTAAAGGCTTTGGTGATAAATACTTTTCTATAACTTCCAGAAAACTAGTAGCTTAGGAAAGAAGAGACACTAAAATAAATTTCCCTTTTGGGAGAGTAAGTCTACAATGGGAGCTCAACAGAAAACTGTTTTAGTTGGCTGACTTGGCACTCCACACAGGCACACTGGCCAAGAAGCAGCTTTTTGACCTACAATTGAAAAAGGATGCAGGAGGGTTCTGTAAGTATTTTGTGGCAAGAGAAAACGAAAATCATTTGGGAATCTGAGAATGGCAACTGCCTGACAAGAATCTTGGAGTTAATACACTCCATTATTTCTGCTACTTAGTGTGAGACTTATCTGGTACAAGTCTAGGGGAAGTGGGACCCATGTATTGGATTCTTGATATGAAATGTGGAGTTACATGTAAGGGTTTGAAGTTGTATCACTTTTGAAGAGGAAGGCTACACGAGGGAATAGGTGTGGTCAGATCCAGGGGGGTAATTTAAGCATTAACAGAGAAATCAGCTTCTCGGAGTTAGCAAACTGTGGGTGGAATGACTATATTTAGCTGGGTGGTTAATTTCTGTCCACTGATAGTAGTGTCCTGAGATTTCATTGCTTGTGTTGAAGTGAATAGAAATCTTAAGGTCTTTTAGTGAAATTCTTTACTCTAGCTTTTCTGTTTCCACTGCCAGCCTCTGAGTTTCTCCGGTATTGAGGTTAGGGCTAAACATGCCTGCACCAGGTTGAAAGCTACCACAATTCATCTTCACTAAAAACTAGTTCAGGCTTGCCAAATGATTGGTTCATGTTCTTAGTTATTAATTTTTTCATAGAGCTGCCAAGATACAGAAATGCTGGAATCATTGCTCTGTGGAGGATGCCACATGATTATAAACAGAACGAATCAAATCCCCTTACAGGAGCTGTGCATGGAAGATATTTGGCACTGGAATCGGTTTTGGTATAATCTTTTCAGGTGCTTAAAAGTTTTTGGGGAGACTAAGGCCAATGTATGAACTTGTGCTAAAACTGTGTAAAATTCCTCCTTTCTGTTGGTTATGAATCTTTTGAAGCTCATTTTAAAGCAAGAAATTGAAAGAGAAGCTGGCAAATTAAAATCATAAGAGTATATGTGCTCGTGAGAATAAAAACATTTTTAAATTTGACACAGATCTTGCCATAGTTTTAAGGACTCTCTTTCATGAATGCTGTGCTTTTTGTTGATACGAAGATTATCATTTGCAATGAACTAGCCACAGAAGTCAAAGATCAAAGCCTCTGTTACAGCTTAATTTTTATAGAATATAGAAATACTGGCTTTTTTATCAATTTCAATACACTCATCTTTTTGTTAGCTTCATCAGAATGATGTCACAACATACGCTGCTGAGTTTGCATCTCTTTGGAAGCTGAAGCTATAAGCAAGGCATCTGCTGTTTTAAACTGAATCTCTGAACCGTGGTAGTTGCACAAAACACTTCCTTCATGCATATTTATGAAAACTGGTTTAACATCTGGTTCACCCTATCCTGAAATGGACAGTGAGAACAGGAGTGAGGAAGTATGCAATCTAGAAGTGGGGATGGTGAAGGAGAAAAATGCTAACTCGCCTTTTGCTACCTGCTTTGTTTCTCTATCTCAATAGATTAATAAGCATTGGAACAAGTCCAGATTATAGAAAGGACAGGCAGTTCCCAAAATGCTGGATGATGATGGAAAAAATGAAGATCAAATCAGTGGTGTAATAAATTGGACTGTAGAAATTCTAGATAAAGGTTGCCCATTCCGAGCAATTGTAGGACATTTTCTTCTGACAGTGACTGAAAAATGAACTATCATCTGTGACATAAGGTTTTCTGCAAGATGGCAGCAAAGCAGAATGTGATGGCAGATATTGCCAAGAGGCAGTGAACTGATTAAACAGAAACAGAAGCACAGCAGAAAAAAAGAGAGATGATGAAAAATCCATCTTTCCCTTTACTTCCATTCACTCAGAAACAAAAGTATAACAGACTTACTAGCTATTGTCCTAAGTCACCACCTCCTTACTGAAAGGATACTGTGGGATTTAGCCGTGGGTTATTAGAGTTAGGGTAGTATGGTTAGGTTGTGGTTGAACTTGATGATCCTTAAGGTCTTTTCCAACATGGGCTATTCTATGATTCTATCTGTTAGCTGATGTTTCCTACTAACAAAAAGTCAGCAGACCGTGTCCGAAAGTGGCTGGTCCTCTGCTTCCTGGCTATTGGAAGCGTGCTCTGGGAACTCTCCTGGTATGCTGTGACATCCCTAATGAGATCTGCTTCTAATATCACATAGCCCCTCCACTTGGGATCATCTGGGCTTTTTTTTTTACGCCCAAGAAGTCATCATAAAGCATCTCTTTGCCATCTTCCTGATGATCACCCTCCTTGGTTTTTGCAAGGTGATTTAAAAAATCGGCCATGAAGAAGATAATACACTTTGTAATTTTCAACCATCTTTTCTTCTAAAGTAACTGGTAAAACCAGGAAGAATTAGCTGTAAGTTGAAAACACAACTTCACTTAAGAACTGATAATTCAATCACTGGAGAACAAAAAGAGGATGGCAGAAGGCTGTGTTTTTCATAATGATTGTTGTAGAATGACTTCTATTTCCTCAAATTCCCAGATTTTATCACTTGGAATCTGTCAGGTGTTTGACTTCTTGGTGGTTTTTGAATGAAACAATTACTGAATGACCTAGTGGCCTGATAATTAAATATAGGAAACTCATTTTCCTGAAGGAAATACAAATAACCAACAGGAGGTTCAACCCATTATCCCTACCTGATATTTCTTTTGCAGCAACAAGAAATTAAACAGTTAGTTATTCCTCTCTGATTATTCATTTTCTTCACTTTTTTTTTTATAGCAGGATGAGATATGGTGTATTCCGCCTCTTTAGCTTAGTGCAAGTACTTAAAATGAATCTTGACATCTTTTCATTTATTAAAAAAAAAAAGCAAAAAAAAATTGTTCCTATTTGAAAATGATTATGTAGTTTCTCTTTGCAACCACGAGAGAAATGGGCACCTCCTGATGGCAGTTCTTGCTTTTTCTGAGTAGGAACTGCATTCTCAGTGGTTCCTGCAGGACTGAAAACACCCCACCTGTGTTTGTAAGGCGGTGAAAAGTTTGCAGTTTGTGAGCGTATTGCCGTGGCTTCATTGCCACTGACATGGCTCAGTGACCTGCTCCCCATAGTTCACACAGACAACACTGTCCTGAGCAGTTCAGCTGTGCCAAGCTCAGCAAACCATGGCATTAAGCAAGTAGTCCTCACCTGTGTGAAATCAGCAAGCATGGGCAGGACAGAACTGACCATCATCCACCTCTGGGACTGGGCAGCCACCATGTGGCTCCATGTAGCACTGCCCTGGGTACGATCAAGCAAGTCCCACTGCAGAGCAGGCCTGAGATATGGCAAGGTTATCACTCTCTTCCTTCACAGCCAAAATGCTGGGCTTTCCGAAAACAGTGGCAGACTATCTATTGCTTTGGAGACCAACCCGCTTCTCACCCCAAAGCACTTTTGATTGCTAGCAAGTCTTAGTAGCACCTATTAAAACTGCATCTTAAAATGATCTCCACCTACTCTATGCTGTGGTTGCGTTGGTCAACTGTTGAGATGAATATTTATCCCATCTTGGTCTAAAGCAAGCAGCACTCAAATCACCTTGAATTTGCTGTGTTATTTAGTATTTTCACCTTTCAAGTACAACTTTTTTTTCTTTTAGCCTAGATGTAACTATCACGAGTGAACCCAAAGGCAGCATAAGAAAACGTCACCACAAATAGTTGTTCTCTGGGTTTAGGTTTAAGCCACTGCTCAATAAAACATGAAAGTACCTTTTGAATAATTCCTGGTGTTTTCTAATTGTACATTCAACAAATTGTTTTGCTCAGCTAGGGCCCATAGCAAAGATGTGTTACATCATTTTCTGTTTATTGGAAATGAACAATTACAAAGGCATAACATTTTAAATTCTTAAAATTCTTTAAATTCTTAACAAGAAGCTAGCAAAACTCCATATTTCATGAGAAGCTTAGTTTTTGTTCGATTACCTTGGTAGTAAAGGAAAAGTTTTCACTGAAGAGGTGCAAAGAGGAACAAAGATTTTGATTGCAAAAATGTCCTCTAAAGGACTGAGGCTCAGATTTAAGGCTCTTTCAGGGGTCTCAAGACCAGGATCTCACCGCGCTGCCCAAGGGCTGAAATGAGCGTTGAACTGAGGTGAAACAAGCCCTTATGTGGTCACACTATTGCAAAAAAGGCTTGGCAGTATGTTGAAAACATTTTCTTTGAGTGTGAGACTTCTATGTGTGAGGAGCACACTGAAAGGTGAACATCTTATGATGTGCAAGGCAAGGACTTCCAGAAAACCTATTTTTTAAATTTATCTTGTAAACGAAATGCTCACTGAGCCAATATTGAATTAGATCAGTGTTCAATGCTCTTGAAATTCCTACCCCATGAGCATTTCCAGAAACACATCCATGCACAGACAGAAGTAATGTTTTTTTCCTTTGTTTGTGCTCTTCAATTTGCATTGAAAATGGAATGAAGCCTCAATCAGAACTCTTATTTACCCTTTTTAGAGGTGTCTGTAAACTGCCCAAATGGCATACAGGCACACAATCAAGTGGATATAAAACAAAGCAAATGATAGGTTGAAGTTTATAACTCGAACACTGATATCTTTAAGAACTACAATAAAATAAATTATTTAGTGAAAATAATCACATATTTTGTGAAAAAGGATCTCAATTTTTGCTAAAATAGATATGCCAGTAATTGAAGAAGCAGTTTTCAAGTTATTCAGCACTTGTCGTTTTTTACTCAAGTCCGTGCTTCTGCAAAGCTTCCAATTTTAGGCTACTTTCGTTTTTGTCAAAATGAAATAAATAAAAACCCAACCAAACTGAGAACATCGGTTTAGATCTTCTGGTTTAGATCTTCTGGTGTCTGTCTGTTACTGTTTCTGTACCAGCATTTAGGGGTGGTATCTAAAGAACCAGATGAAGATCAGAAAGGAGATCAGGAAAGTAACACAATTTTTTGATAGAGGAAAAGGAGATACCTATATTCCAATGCTTTGCTGAACTGGGACCTGAAGTTATACAGATATAAGTTCTCTGTTCTCTTGCTTCTCAGCTCCTCAGTTCTTGTGGTACTGGGGAGAAACCTGCCAAGTCCACAGGTTGTTTCAATCCTCCCTTGCCCTATGTGAGTTTGATGAACTTTCTTCTTGGTACTCAAGGTGGAAATATGGAAACACAACACAGGAACATAGAGCACTTCAGTTTTATTAAAGCTGAATGTGACCAAGCTTGCATGCAGTATTTCATGTCTTTCCAGTACTAATTACTGCATCAACTCTGAAGTACAGCAGAGACTTTCTTATTTCTCATGTCACTTATAGGATGTTTGATGTCTTTCTTCCTGCTGTGAATGCTCTCTTGGGTGAACAGAGACTATACTTAGCTTGCTCACTGAGACAGAGTTGTTATGAGAGTCAGTTACCTCATATTTGGAAAGTAAGGGTAGAGATTTAATAAATTGCAAAGCTTTATCTCTTTTCAACAGTGAAGGCAAGCAAGTAAACATACATATTTGTTTGACTGAATTTATGCGTCCAGGTTAAAACCCACCCTCATGGTTAGCAAGTACACAAAGGACATTCCCTTCAGATAATGCATAGCTTGCAGAAAGCTCAAACTCATAAATTTTAATAAGAATAATAGGTTTTCTTCTGTCTGCCCAAATCTCCAATTTATAAACCAAATTCTCTTCTACCATTCTGACTCCGGACAAATCAATAGAATTGCACAGATTTTAATCAGCTGTTTTCAAACCTGGGGGAATTCATCCTATGAAAATTTTAAATTGAGCTGTTTCAAAGCAAAGCCAGGCAATGCTGCCTACATACAGGGTCCAATTCTGTAAGGTACGGGATTTTTCCCCACAAGTAAAGAGCATGGATGTTTTCTGCTGTTCTTTGATTGCTGCTGTGAGGCCAATATCTTTCTGTATTTCAAACATCGGCCGCACTGAGGCATCATGATCTGAAATCAAATCATGATTTAAGTCATGTCCTACATGAAGAATTGTTGCAGCAAGTTGCAGAGAAGTGATTCATGTACTGCACTGTCTGCCAAGTATATTTTGTGAGGAGGATGAAAATGAAAAAAAGGATTTTGCTGCAGTGTGAAGCTTCTCCATTGACCGCCTGTATCTGAGAATTGGATGTTCTCAAGTGATTTATGCTCCGTGATGGATCTGAAGACTGCTAATGTTTCCAGTCATTGTCAAATCATTTTTTCAGACTTTAATAATGCAATGAGATGATCTTTCCCCCCCTGCTATTCAAATGCAATTTTTCTTTTCTGATAATTCTTGAAGGGAAAAATTTTTCTACTGGCAATTTATATCAAAGGCTCAGTGCTAGTCTAAGATATCAATTGTCTTAAAATGCTGAAATGGTGGTTCTTCTGTTTTCTCCCTGTGTAGTGCACAATGCCCTCTTTTCATAACTCTGCATATGATGACTGACAACAAATTACTTTCCATTTCAAACATTAAAACTCTGAAAATTCTTCTGGCTTTTGTGGAACACCTTCTCACTGCAGGTGTCCAGGTGTTAGACTTCCTGCAGCCAAATCTTGAATCTTTGCATTCATCTTTGTTAACTCAAACCAGCCATCAATAAAATACAAATTCATTTCCAAAATAGCTTTCAGCCTCAATGTAAAATGAGGAATCTTTAACAAATGCTCATGATAATGACCTGCTACCACCAAGGTGAAATACTATTTTTTGTTTTCATTGCATTCAATATTTTTTATCTTCACACAAGTTTCTATCTCAGATGAGGTATAAACAGCTGAAGTCAGTATGTCTTGTTGTCTTCATGGTTTCTGTGCATTCATTCTTTTCCATTGACCTTCCTTATTTTTTGTTTGTTTGCATCTCTGTGACTATTCTGCAGATTCTCATGGAATCATAGAATAATAGAATGGCTTGGGTTGGAAGGATCTCAAGGATCATCAAATTCCAACCCACCTGCCACAGACGGCTTCCAGCCACTAGGTCAAATAGCAGATCAGATTGCCCAGGGTTTTTAACACCACCTGCCTTTTACCTGGCTTTTAACACCACCAGGATTGGGGCTTCCACAGCCTCTCTGGGCAACTTGTGTATATCATGTACATAATGTAATGCATCCTATCTCTAATTAAGTAGCACCATCTAAAGCATATCCTTTCAGAGAGAACTTTGGCATTTTTTTCACCTGGGAATTAGCATATGCCTTCTGTGCATCCAATGTCAAAATTAGTACTAAGTGTGATGTACAGCAATTGCACTTTGTAAGGTTTCTGTTCCTCCGGAGTCTTACCAGCAGTCAGCATTTTAAATGAAGGAGATATTGCACTCTTCTTGAGTGTTCTAGTCTGAAAGCACTGATTCTGGTGCTAGTGTCTGGGCTCTCTTAGAAGCAGAAGCTATGTCAAGTGCTGTAGTAACCTGATAGCAATGCTGCCCTTCTTCCTATGTTGTGGAAAGAAAAGTGGTGCAAAGCATTCTCATGCCATATTTTAACCCTTTACAGGTTACCTTCCTTTAAAATTATTATTATTATTAATGTACTCAAGGACAAAAATAGATATCTAAAAAATAGATGAAATTCTGTCCTTACATGTAAATTTCAAGACTTCTAAGCCGCTGTATTTCCTATGCACACAGCTCACCCTGCTTTAACATGTGATACTGCAGGTTCCATCTGGCTGTCTCTGAAAGCTCAAGAGAAAAGCAAACACAGATATGAAGGAAATTAAAGGTGCCTCACTGTGATATTTTTATAGAGTGGTATGTCGCTTTGATAATGAACTGTGAAAGATAGCATGCAGATGCTGATGAATGTAAATGACTGCATGAGTTCTTCTTTTAATGTTGAGTCCATGAGGTGGATTATTAGTATAAGATCTGTGTTGTAAAAACACTGAAAAGAGAAGTGATGTGGAAAGAAGATATTTCTAGTGATTTGTAGTGAACCACATCTTCTACCTGTCTTTTCATGACCAACCTCTGATTCTGATAAATGTAAGCCTTAGAGGTTTGATGGTAATAAACAAACTTACAGGTGGAGTAGCTCTCTTCCTAAAGTCCAGTATGCTTCCTTCCAGCACTGTAAGGGGGTATCTGTCTGCATTTCCAACAGATCAGACCTATTCCCAAGCTTGGGTTGGCAAGGCCGTGTTGGTGGGGAGATCAGTGCGACTCACGCTTAGTGTGTGTTTCCTGCCCACTTAGTTCAGTTACCTGCTGGTTGCCACTCTGATAAATAAGTGACTGTGGTTTGACGTGTAGCTGCAAGGCTCCTGCCCTCACTTTCCCTGTCCATCTGTGCACTTCAGACCTTCCGCTTTGTATCTGACCCCACTTGTGGGTCTGGCTCTGGGGGCAGCCTGCTTGCCCTCCTCTGGGTGGAGTGTTCAGGCAAAATAATGCTTGCATCAATGGAGAAATAGAGCTGAATTCGAAATAGCACACATGTATTTTTGGTAGGAGCTCAGTGGTTGAAACAAGCTGAGCTGGGATCAGTCTGTGGTTTGTAGTGATGCTGGCATACAGGAGCACAGGCAGGACAGACCCACGGTGCCTCCTGGCTTTTAGGGACTGGGTGATTTTGGGAGATTTTGTTCTCTCATACAAGACTGATGTCAGCTGGTGATGGCATCATTTTACAAAGAGCAATGGGATGTGGGACTTCAGTGTTAGATGGTGAATTTTGCCCTTGTGTTATGCTAGTAATTTGATTTGCATCTTTCCTATCTTGACAAGTTTATAGAAAAAAGTGATGATAATGTGGTAGTTCAGTGTCTTGAGATGGTTTTAAAGTGGATAAGCAAATCGTTATGCCTCTGAGGTTGTGTAATTCTGTGGATTTGTCTTACCTCCAGCGACTGACGTGTAATATTAATCATTTGAGATCTATGTAAGCTTTACATGTGGAAGTTGTGTCAAAATGACACAAGCACTTGGCTAAGCATACTGAATCATCATCATTCTGGCATGCTCAGGGGCAGAGGTACTTGTGTAGAGTGTTTTAAACATCGCAAAGTGTGTTGTTGTTTAGCGTATTGTGATTAGGGCTTCAGTCTAACTGTCCCCAAAGTAGCAAATGTTCGCTGATGGCTAACACTGTTATAAGGACTGAAGGGGTGACTTTCTTTGCCTGGCAATAATGTATTTTCTATTATGTCAAGAGTCTGTTCATTTTCAAGTAGTGTGCTGTGCTACTTTGAAGAATGTCTTTTTTTTTTTTTTTTCAAGTGGTTTCATCGTGAATGTACCCCAAAATGTCTAGATGTCTTTCAATAGCAAAGATCTCTTTGTTATTGAGTGTATTATTTATTAATAGTACATTGTTGTCATTTTCTAGTCACATTTTACAAATATACCATTAGCATCTCATGTGATTTTTTATAAGGGAAGTCTTATTTATAATATTCATGCACGTGGACAGAAACAAATCTCAATTTTATAGTAGTCCATGCCTTTTTTCATAGCTGAAGCATTTTAATGAACACAACTGGAAGGGAGAGGCTCACTGTTTTAATTTTGATGGAACTTTACATAGGTAACTGTTATGTTATTTATAATTTGGTTTTACTGATCTTAACAAATAAATATCTCCACTTTATGAAATGAAAATATTACTTGTGGGCCTTCTTTTTCTTCATCATTTCCCCATTATGTAACTCAGTATGTCCAAATAATGAAAGCCAATTCCTCTTTCACTTTATTTTGTCCTTCATGGTCTTCTGTCATATCAAGGTTTACATACATTGTCCTTATCTGATATTACTATACCCATCTTCCTGTTTACTCAGATCCTTCTCTTTGTTGCTTATTCGGCGAGACAACTTCATTTGTAGAATGTCTGAGAATTTACTGGGAGTTAAACTTGGATGTTTTTACCTTCCCAGAACACTGACAAAAATGACTTTGAGTATATCTAGAAGTTCCAAGTAGATACAACCATTTTGTTGAAGAGATTCCCACTCTGCATTCAAATCAGTTGAACCCCACTTGCTTGGAATGGATATTTCTATATTCAGTCTTATACTCACATAAAAGACTTTTACCACATTTCTTAAAGCAAATGGGGATTCTAGATACCTGAACATCAAATTGACCAAGCTTAGATGTCTTCAGATTTTCAAGAACAGATTTTCTTAGAACAAACCTCTTCGAGGTAGCAGAAGCTTGGCATCGAGTTCCTTTTGAGATTATGAAAATGTCCTTCCTCACTTTAACCCCTCTGTTAAAACCTGTGGAAGATATGGGATAAAATGGTCCTGATCATTCCAGAGGCATTTGTAGGAGGATTACTTATTCTGATAGATACAATCAAGCTTGGAAATCATGCTTGACCAACCTGATAGCCTCATATGGTGTCACAATTAGCTGAGTAGATGAGGGGAGATCAGTGGTTGTTGTCTACCTTGATTTCAGCAAGGCTTTTGACACTGTCTCCCATAACATTTTTGTAGGTAAGCTTAGGAAGTGTAGGATAGATGAGTGGACAGTGAAGTGGACTGAAAACTGGAAGAGCTCAAATGGATGTGAACAGAGGTGCAGAGTCTAGCTGGAGACCTGTAGCTAGTGGTATTCCCAAGGGTTGGGACTGGGCCCAGTCTTGCTCAACATCTTCATTAGTGAACTGGATGAAGATACAGATCCTAGCTTCAGCATGTTTGCTGATGACACAAAGCTGCAAGGAGCAACTGACACATCAGAAGGCTGTGCTGCCATTCAGTGTGACCTAGACAGACCAGATAATTGGGTGGAAAGGAACCTGCTGAGATTCGAAAAGGGCAAGTGAACAGTCCTACACCTGGGAAGCTGTAACTGCACACATCAGAGCTGACCTGCTGGGAAGGATCTCTGTGGAGAAGGACCTGAGTATCATGGTAGACAACCAATTGGCCATGAGCCAGAACTGTGGGCCAAGTCAGTTAGGGCCAAGAAGGCCAATGGTATCCTGAGGTTCATAAATAGAGGTTGAGGGAAGTGATCCTCTCCCTCCCGTCTTCCTTTGTCGAGGCCTCATCAAGAGTACTGGATCCAGTCCTGGGCTCTTTGGTTCAAGAAAAACAATGGCAGAGGGCTACAAAGATGATTAAGGGTCTGGAGCATCTCCCTTTTGAGGAAAGGCTGAAACCCTGGGGCTGTTCAGCCTGGAGAAGAGAAGACTGAGGAGGGATTTTATCAATGCTTATATGTATCTACTGAGTGGGAGTTAATTGGATGGGGCCAGGAGCTTTTCAGTGGCAGAACAAGGGGCAATGGGCACAAACTGGAACATAGGAAGTTTCATCTGAACATGAGGAAAAAATTCTTTATTGTGAGGGTGGCAGAGTACTGGAAAAGCATCTTCCTTTAATACACATTCAGTGTGGTAAATAATTTCCCATCATGTACTTCAGCCTTTTTTTTCCATCTATTGCACGAGAGGCCCTGAGTCCTTCTTACTCACATTAAGAGATTATGGCTGCTTGATCTGTTTAGTTGTTTTTCTTAATGCAGTAATCTTATCTCTATTGCCTTTCCCTATGTGGCTATTTCCCCCACCCCCACCCCCACCCCTTTTTTTTCCTCTGTTTCTACTTTCTATTTTTTGACATAGAAGAATTAGAATCCAATAGATATTAAATAAAAGGTATCTTTTTAGTGTTTGCAGTGGTTCTCAGGTTAGACCTTGCTGATTGCCAGCTTCTAAACTCTTCCCTGGCAACCTCAAAGTCTGCAAGTCTGAAGAGAGTATCAATTGAAACTAAATTCTAGAATGAGAACTTTTTAATGATTATTTTTTGTTAATATTAATGTTCTATTTCATTTCTATGTACTCCCTGTTTTGCTATGAGAAAAGATACCTACAGTAGATTTTGACTAAAGAGGGAGCAAAATTACATCACTTAGCTTCTAGATATTTTTTAGAAAAAACATTAGGACACAATTACTATCAAAACATCTGCATGGGCTAATTTTCTAAAGAAAAGACCAAATTTCTTTACCAGGAAAGATACTGTGAGACTGAATCTTTGACTCTGACTGGTCCAGTCTTTTAAGTCCCTTTTCTTTGCAGACATTTAACAGTAAATAGACTGTAATGTGTTTCATTCTCTAAGACCCAAAGTGAACCAGCTCTTATAAAGCTCTTAGTATTATTTTCAGTATTTTGATCTGTCAGTTCCCTCACTTTGCACTTTCCCATTATTATGTACCTATTAATGAGTGTAAAAAGAAGGATATTCTTAATCAAGATCAGAAATGTAGGTAGCTTGAAAAATGTTAGAAAACGGTCAAGTACATGTATATACTGCCAAAGAAAAATTCAATATCACAAAAAAGATCATTTTTCAGCCTGCATATGCAAACTGGTGTTTTTTTTTTATTGTTGTTATTGTTTTGTTTTGTAAATTTGCATTTACTATTTAGAATTTAAACCAGTGATACAGATGTACCTGTTAAAATCAATCCATGCCGACTATTATACAAAAATAATTAATAATCCAATGAATTATTTTCACAAGGTCTGCATTCTTTTACTGTGTAAAAGGGGTTACTACAAGAAATACATCATAGATCATGAGGAATAGAGGCCCAAATGTTTTAGAAATTATCTGTCATAATGCTAAAAATAAAATACAAATGTATATGCCAAATCATCGTCAGACTGTGTGTATGCTGCTTAAATTTAGAAAGAAGAACTTCAAAATAAAGCAGTGTACTTGAAAATCATGCGAGTGTAACACTTTCCAGGAAGGAGATGAGACTGTGAAAATATGCATGGGAGGGACAACAGAAAGTTTAAAATAGTTCATCACAATCTTGTTCACAGTTCCAAGCCAAAACTGAGCATTTTTATTTCAACGTATGTTTCGGAGTTCCTTTTAGAACACAGATCCTCCATTCAAATTCAAAAAAATTCCTCCATTCAAATGATTAAAAAAGACTTAAGTTTGAAGCCCTGAACAGGTTGAACAAATATTTTTAGCAAAAGCAATTAAAAACATCTAACAATCCATCTATTGTAGATCAGATGCCCAGCCTGTCAGTGTTAACCGCTTGCTTTCTTCAAGCTCTCCATCACCACATCTACCACCCACTGCCATTGCAGACACTTCCTGTCTACAGACAAGATCTCTGTGGGAGAAGCCACCTTTGGCGACATACCAGACGTATCTGGGGACAGGCGAATGACAAAAACATGACAACAAAAGGAAATTATGAGTGACAGTTGTATGGCCTTAGGTTCATTGAGTGACATGCCATTTTTGGTTTAAATTACATGTGGCCTGTCAAACGTGATTTAGCTCTTGGAATTATTAACTGTCTGGATGAATAATTGTTGGAGATATCAGCCATCAGCAAAGTTCATGGCTGATAAAAAAAGACAAATGCAAAGTTTTCCATGTGGGACAGATCCCATCAGACTACAGCACAGCCTTTGTAGCAAAACGGTCTGAGCAAGTGGACAGCAATTTGAGTGTTAATTCACCAGCATGTGCCTCTGATGATGAACACTCATTACATGGCATAGCCAAGAGGATGAGGGAGGGGAATTTTCCCATATGAGGCTATTGTGAGTCCGCATTTGGAGTACTACGTCCAGCTTTGAACCCTTGGTACAACAGGTATCAGAAAATAGGAGTGAGTCCATGGCTGTGGGGTGGGAACACAGGACACCCAAAGGGAATAGGGGCAGCTGTTCATCTCTGCTTTGTTACCGGAACAGACTGCCCAGAGAGATTTTAGTTTCCTTTTCTGGAGCTATTCAACGCCCATCTGGATTCTTTCCTGTGTAACCTACTGTAGGGAACTTGCTTTAGCAGCGGGGTTACACTAGATGATCCCTAGATGTCCCCTCTGATTCTGTGATCCAGTGATTCTGTTATCTCAAACAGAGAAGTCTAGGGGGTGACTAACGATGCTCTTCAACTTTCTGCCATGCAACTGGCAGCAGAGATACCTACCAGACACCTACCAGAGATACACACTGAAAGCATGAAAGGCAACAGCTACAGGTAGCAGAAAGGAAATATCCTATTAGGTATAAAGAATAAAATTCACTAAGAGGGTTATCTAACATTTGGCCAGGCGCCCTGGCAGGCTGTAGTGTTTCAACCCTAGACAATGTCCACCCAGAATGTGAATGCACAAGACCTAAGCAACCTGCCTGAACTTTGAAATCAGGACTGAGATCCAGATGCCCCACCCAATCTGAACTATGCTGTGAGCTGCAGAGATGTCAATAACGTTGCTCTGTGACAAAGCAAGACCCAGAGAATCAAATCTAAAACTTCTATTTGCCTTCTTTTACTCCACTTCCTTTGGAGTAGTTGTTCTTTTCTGTTTCTTTCTGGGCTCCCACTTTCTTCCTCCTTCCTGAGCACAGCTGTTTGTGGTGATCTTTGCCCACCTCCTGCTCTCCTCCCACTCCCCACCTGCAGGCTTCACGTCCTCCCAGCTTCCTGCTACTTGTTTCCACACAGATCCCCACCAGCAACACTAAAACTGCTCGTCTGCATTAAAGACATCTGACACACCGAGGCAGATACTATAGGGAAAATGCTGCAGAAATAGCCTGGAGGAAACAAACTCTTTTTCACCAGTGCGTATCTTGATGGTATGAACTTTAGGT